GTCCATCTTCGATAGCTGGAGGCCGTACTAGCAAAATCACACATTTCCTGGCTCCTTAAGCAAGTTGCATCACTCGGGCAAACAAACATAACAAAATCTTGCTTTTATATGTTTTAATTTATGTAAAAAAAAAAGCATAAAAGGGATTCATGTCCATTGAAAAAACCCCAAAAGTTGAAAGCGGTCTGATTCCTCCATATCCCCTCGGTAGTTTTTTGTTTGTAATAATTTCGATCAAGTGCAAGGCTGCGTCAAAAATCAGTGGATATGTGATGAACGAAGGTAAGTGACAAAAACGATAGAGCCAAGTACCGAGATCCAAAAATCCAAGTGCAGTTAGTAACTTTTAAGCTTCTACGCTTATGCTGCCCAAAGGAAGCTGCGTGCTCAAACCCAGCCATCAAGGGCTCATTCGAGCTAATTAAGAAGGTATTTGTAATCTTCGAAGAGAACCGCCCGCAATCCATTTTCTTTATCTGCCGCTAATACGCATTTAATACAGAAAATAAGGAATAAGGTTAAATGTCATACAGCAGAAGCAGTGTTTAGAAGATCTAGGAAAAAGTAAAAGGAGATAAAAGACAATCGAAATGACAATACGCAAAATTTCGTATTCCCAGAAAAAAATAAAATTAGCCATACTTGATGACCTTATTTGGAAATCAGTCGGCAGCCCAGGAATAAGGAAAAGGAGATAAAAGACAGTCAAAATAACAAATGTAAAATTTCGAATTTTCAAAAAAAAAAAAGAAAAAAAGAGAAAATTAGCCATATTTGCTGACCTTATATGAAAACCAGGTGGAAACAGTAAAAATTTATGGGAAATGTAGCGAAAAAAGCATACCAGCACGTTCCACTGATATCAAATTTTCTGTGATAATGATACGATGAAATGACCAAGCAGCGGCTTCGCACTGTGCGCCCATGACAAGTATTCGATTGATCACCTCATCCGGACTCAAGCTCTCCTTGATATAAGATGGTAGCAACAGCTTCACAATCTAAAACAAAAAAAAAACTTCCGTAATTATTTTAATCGGCTTTCCCTTATCGTTCTTTGCTGGTGTGGCCATTTTGCTGAAGAATCCGACATTCGTTCCTGGGTTTTTTTAATGCTTTTTTCACATCTATGTAATGCAATAAGGGGTTGTCTGTGTGTATGTGTTTGTGTGCGCGTCTGCACCAATTTTTCATCTCGAGACCTACAAATGCTACAAGGCTGAAACTTTGGGAAATTAATTTACATGTATGTACGGGCCCCAATCCCAAAAATGAGCGCTTTTGCCCGCGTGTTTCCCACGTAAGGGCTTGTAAAAGTTTTTCGCGGGTAAATGACTAACTCCGGAACTTGAGAAGCTAGGAGATTGGAATTTTGAAGGGATGTCCCCCGTTCAGATAGGTATTAATAAGTTCAGTCCCAGACATTCGGTATTCGTGGTTCCCACGAATGGGCCCGTGAAAGTTTTTTGGCGAGTAAGTTGGTAACTGGGGAACCAGAAAAGGTAGGAAGCTAAAAATTTAAGGAGGTTTTCTCAGACAGTCCTGGTGGCTAGCCTCAATTCTCTTAATTTAGGATATCTGCCGGAAAAACAGTGCCGTTAGCGACAAAAACCTGCGGGAAACTGCGCAAAAAACGCATTTTCGCACCGGCAGTCGGTTCGCTTGCCATTTATTTCGTCATTCCAAAAGGGGCCTTAATTACCCAATACCCCTTCTACTTCAATCGCAAATGAGCTTACGTAAACGAAAACTTAGATATTATCGGAACTACATAATGACATTTCGTGGCGAATTATCACTGTCTGCAAGAAGTCTGTAAATAATATACCTCTTTGCGAATCGTATCCGATCTTTCGTTCGCAAATGCTAACACTACATGTTCCATGTCAACCACATCACTGAGCTGAAATATCATCTTCATTCTACATTGATTTATTGTCAAACAGCGCACATGGGTTATGGTTCAGCCTACCAACGGCCGCAATTTATTTTAACAAACTTATCCAACCCTTCGTTTAAACTTTCTTTTACCGGCCGCACCCCACATTTTGTTTTCTTTGGACCGATCACTTGTTTTAAGATTACGATTCGGCCTATTAATGGCCGTAATTTATTATCATTACTGTTATTATCATTATTGTTATTATTATTATCATTATTATTGTCATTGTTATTATTATTATTATCATTATCATTATTATCATCATTATTATTGTTGTTATTATTATTATTATTATTATTAGTGTTACTATTGTTATTATTAGTGTTATTATTGTTATTAGTGTTATTATTGTTGTTATCATTGTCATTAATGCTATTATTATTGCCATTATTATTATGTTTCCAATGTCATCAATTTCAAAAAAGGGCACTTCTGTGTGGGGGATTATCGATAGTCTTGGAACAGGTTACTGCTGGACTACAGCTCAGGCGAATTTAGCACTGGCTCGCCTTTCACAAAAGTGAGTATGAAAGGTTTTGGTGAAAATTTTTTTCATAGGCGGATCCAGGGCGGTTTCCCTGGGGGCGGAAGAGAGGGAGTGGTATCAGAAGTGCAGAAGAGAGTTTTCTTCAATTTTAGTTTTAAACCCGGACTTCTCTGTCGCTGGGGGGAGGGCCGGAGGAGGGCGAAAGACCCATCGTCACCCCGTCCTCTCGGATCCACTTATGGTAAAATTGGAACGAAGTCTAGTCATAGGATACAAAACACAGATAAGGGATTTAAACTTGATTTTTTGCTCATAAAAGAAATAAAAACAAAGAAAATAAAGGTGAAACAAGCGTACTTTGATGTAACGATGGCCAATCAATTCATTGAGGAGCTCAAATGCGGCAAGACGAACGCGATCATTTGGATCATTGATCCCTCTCAAATTGAATAAACATTTTAGCGCACGATCACATGCATTTAGTGCACTGGCACAATGCAAAATACCACGCATCCCTTCGTAAACGGCCAAACGTACGCTTACAACACTG